TGCAAATAACTATGTACACAGAAAAGTAGTGGTCGATACAGTTTTTCAAAGGCCATTGCCGATATTTCAGGAGTAGGGCGGCCGATGGCCAATATATGTCTCTGATATCAACACAAAGAAAAGTCATTCCATTCATCCTCCTTTGTTCTTGGTATCTATTGTTTCTTATTGCAATACAATTAATAAGAAAACTGAGTATTGGCTGATTAAAATATTAAAACAATCTCCCAGATGAGACCACATGTTAATTTCTAAATCACTGTCATAGTCTGTATGAAATGGACGTCGACACTGTGAAGTCACCCATTGGTTTATGGCCATTGCCATCTTGCTTTTTTGGAACAAAAAGTGACCATAGCTACCTTGGTTAGCAAGCTGCATTCCTAATTCACGTTAACTGTGATATTAATCGGTATGCTAATTTTGGCTAGCGAAAAGCAGGTTTAAAACAAAATGTATGTACCAGAAAACAGCCAACTTCCAGTGTCTCTTACTACAACCAAATGCTGAACAAGACATTTTTAAGTAACCAAAATGTTGCAATTAACTTAAACTGAAAACACACTGTGAAAGCGTGAAAGTTCTGAGACCAAAACCCCATCAGTACCAAAAAACAAGTTCACAGCTAGTTTAATGTACACAGTGTAGTGGATACCATTAGCCTTTATTGATTGACAGGTTGCTGTGGTAGTGACTTGTCAATCACAAGGTAACCACGTTCTAAAGCATAGCCTTCTTTATAGTCTATTTTACTCTAAATGGGACCATTCTTTACTAAATAACAACATGCTGTATTGAAGACTAGAACTAGTAATTGAGATCATAAACGTGTTTACTGAGGTAATAAATCAAGTCAGTAGTAGGGCCATTTTGTCACTGACTCCAGTGCAAGCCGACTTCTCTTTGCAACCAGTGGAGTTGCCTCCTGCTGGCCATTAGAAAGAATGCAGGTTTAATGTACTTCCACATTGCCCTTACTTTTCAGACCTGGAGATTGCCGCTTGATCAGTATATGACCTATAACATGTGCTAAAGGCTTTACTGCTCTCATCATCACATTCTTAAAATCATATCACATCCTCATACCAGAATGACAAGATAGGTTGATTGTCAATTAACCCAAAAAATCACATGTCCATTGGAAAGTACAATTTACATATATGGCCGCTCCTCAAAACAACATGTACCAGCATTAGTAAGTACCAGTCCAATGAAAGGTTTACCGGAATCTCAATACGTTGACGTGACGTGACCTAAGTCCCATGTGGTACATGTTGTGAAACGTTGGTAGTTTGATTAGGTTGAGGCAATAAAACCACCTGGTTAGGTTTAGGAAAAGATTGCGGTTTGGGTTTAAATAATTATTTTATAATTACAAATGTAATTAATAATTACGTAAGTCATCTACAAAACATTATTTAACTCAAACCTCCTGCATGAAAGTCCTTAGTTTACTTGTCACATCCATTCACCTTACCTTTCTCTGTCTTTAGACTACGTCACCTGACTTTTTATGCTTTAACTAGAGGTCACGGCCTAACATAAAACATACATATGCAATAAGCTATATAATAATCAACCTATATGACTTTTTTCTGGTGACAAGCTGTACAAACACTATGTTGGCAACATGGGTGAACAGCACTATAAATGGAAATCTCGCTGTATTATCTATCACTATAGTGTAAGATAATTAATAGATGGACAAATTAATTTAAAAAAATTCCAGTCGGGATTGTTAACCAGTTCCCTCTGCCAGTTTAGGCCCAATTTAAAATGCTGAAGAGCCATTCAAATGTGGAACAAAGTCAGCGTAGCTCATACTGAAATAAAAACGACCACTTAAAAAACAAGAAAGAATAAAATTAACATTTATTTATTATTTACTTCTATTTGGAAACCCAGAATTTAAAAACAGAAAGACATCTATTTCTCAGCAGATTTGATCAAGACTAGTAATGAGTTATTAGGTTTCTCAGAGGCTGCAGTTTTACAAAGCAGCCTTACATCAGGGAATAACGATGCATGTAATTATAGGCGAGCTGCCTGCTGTGTCTCCTCATTGATTGAGCTGTGCTTAGATTCGCTCAAGATGTCACTCTTTCCTCCTCTTACACTGTGGAGAGTGGAGACTGTCAGATGACGGTTTATGGAAGACAGCTGCCTCTCTGCACTTATCCACAAAACCTTTCAGTTTCAAGAGAGAGTGCAGAGATTTCTTTTTAGCATCTCTCTCTCGCTCACATTTTCTAACTCATAACAAGGCTTTTTTATGTGTTGGGAGGATGAATAGAGAAAATGCCGAGATGCATGTGAACCTGCACACAGAATAATAAATAACAACTGGGGACCATTACGAACTTTATCTTCGGTTCGCAACAGAATTGTCCATTTAAAAACAAAATCTGTTTTTAATCCCTTTATTATTTAAGTGGACATTATGCAGACATTGTGCATATTCTGAAATAAATTTTACTCAAATTATCAGTCATACACATACAGACCTGGAGAGAGATTGTTTGCATAGAGATAATGGTTGGTTTGTGGAGCCCTCGGCAAAATATAATGAAGCTGTTGTACTGCACTGTGACATATGACAGGCAGCAAGACACATACACCAGGGTAAATGTTTGCCCTTGGGCCCCCCAGCAGGTTAATGTGGCCCTACATGCTTTTACTATAACTAGTGCTACTACTATACTACTCCCTGCCTCTATTCTTAGAATTACCATTTCTACTACCTCAACTATTAGGCTAGTGCAAGTTTTGGTAATTAATGGAACATTGCCTTAGTGCAGTCAGAGAACTGTAATCTCACTGGCATCAGCTCCAAGCAAACACTGGGGCATTAAATGTCGTCCAATCAAAAGGCCTCATCATTGTTAAAAAATAGTTCCAAAATGAAAGTTGTGCCAACGTGCAGGACGTGACCTGGCCATCAGCTGGACGTTCTACCAACGTTTAAATATATTGTTACCACGCATGGGGCTGTTCAGCTATTCTGCTACAGTTTATGTACACAGTGTGCATTCAGTAGCTTTATACATCCTAAACAGAAAATAAGTTTTTTTCATATGGGACTCAAACCCCAGTGCCTGAAAGTCCTGAGTTCCTTCCATTTACTTTGACTTAGTTGCTCTTTATGCTTCTCTATATGCCTTTCTGGTGTGACAGCTTGGATAAAGAGTTTTGACACTTACAAACACCATGGTCTTAAAACAATGAGACAGGATTATAATTTATATCTTCTGTATATAAATGGCTGTGTTTTTTATATTTAAAAAATTGAAGTCAAATAATACTGCCCTTTGGAGGTGGAGTGATTTCACAACCAAATAAATTGTCCATTCAGTGTTGTTTTATTAAGAAAACAAAGACACATGCATTTGCTTTTTTTCATGGCAATAATATGATCAACATTTCCTGGTTTATAGAAGAGGGTCAAAACTCCGAACATTATTGGATGTGGAAACACCATCGCCATCATTACCACGTTGCAGTTTTTAGAAAACTTTGTTTGTTCCTGTATATATCGTTGTGTAGTATCCAATATTTATGCATTTGACTCATAACAGTTCAAAATAGCAGTGTAGCAGCAGGACAGAGGGTCAGTGACCTTCTACGGGGAGAGCAGTGATTGGTGGTTATGTAGGGACTGAACCCTTCTATAGAATTTGACTTCTAACCCCTTGTTTTGTTACTTCAAAATAGTACTGTACCCTTCTATGGGTTTGACCTTTTATTTTGCAGACTCAAACCCCTCTATGGTACCTAACAGATACCTACACATACCCTATATAAGCTGTGTTTGATGAACAGAGTGACAGAGTGGCCATCGGGCTGGGTCACTCTCCAAGCTGCTGCAGAGCTTGTAATTGATGCTGAACTCCTTGATTTAATAAACTTTTATGATCAAGAACAGTGTCAGTGTCTTCTCAACACATCATCGCAGCATTATTGTTCGGACACCACAGCTGTTTTGTGAGAGACCTTCTTACGCAAGCAGGGCTAAACTCCTGCCTCTTTCACAACATCTAAAAGTACTATTGCTAGTATACTTACTTGTTCATTTTCAATTAATGTGTCTGTTATTTTCACTAATTTAGGGATTGATATATACATTGTTTTGTCCATTAATATAAAAATGCCCATCACAATTATTTGAAACATATTCACATTGCTTGTTTTGTCCACCAATAGTCTAACACAAAAAGTTTTTTAGCTTAATATCCCTAAAGATACCCAGCAAATATTCACATTTTATAAGCTGCTTTAAAAATGACATTCAAAATAATTGCTGTTTAATTTGTCAAAATTGGTCAAAATCAGGGTGTGGTAGGTCACATCACCTGGTGCTGTGAGAGATTAAAGAGATTAGTTTAAGTTAACAGCAACAGTGAAGAGCCTGGCATGCACATACACACTTGTGGAAAAAGGATGTTAAGGCTCAAAACACAAGGCATTGCTGCTCCTTCATTCTGTGATGCTCAGAAGAAAAACTCTCTCATAAAGTATTTGAAATCCCATAGGCCTAGATAACAATAAATTAGGGCAATTAAACCTCTAGTAATCATAACCCACTGGAACTCTGTAAGGATGAAAACAGACAAAGCTGTCTTGACATGACCTGTTGAGGATGCAAGGCCTAAATCACATTAAAAAGCCATTATGTTATCCCTGATTTTAATTTCTAAGACAGCAGAGAGTTTGCTGTTCACATTGAAATGATCTGATCTTTAAAATGAACATTGTTTTCAGTCATTTCTCAGCACCAAAACTCAGTTTCCTGATTGGTTGCTGTTAACTAAACTCACTTAATCAGGATCCATTTGTCCTCTTTTGTTTGTTTTATCAAGCCAGCCCGTGACTACAGCAGTGGATATGCGCGCTGATTGATTTCAGTGAAGCTGACTACTCCTGGTGTTTGATCTCTAAAGCAAATAAATAAGACCAATGGAGTGTAATTGAAAAGTAATGTTTTTTTTTCCAGATAGTGATGAGGAAAGGGCCGACATTACTTTTTTGAAAGGAATCTCAGGTCTTCTGTTACGTGTTTTTGGAATAACGACCCCGACGCTGACGAGCGGTTGTGCGTTTTGGAGAGGGCAGGGGCGCCGCAGACGCAGCAGCAGCGCAGTCTGTTTGGAGCCACCGGTTGAGATCATTCAACACTCTGAGCACTGACTGTCTGAGCGGATGGTGTGATACAAATCGACGACCTCCGCCTCCCCGAATTCGTCCTAAACAAACAATGGACATCCTCCTCGGCCCTCTATGTAGCCACAAAAGCGTCGGATGAGTGAAATCGGAGATGCTGCGCACCACGGCCAAAATCCTGGAGCTTTTTTGAACAGGACTGTGGGTGTGTGCGCGTCGGGCTCGCCGTTACCTCCGGACTGCACTCGCCAACTTCCCCCGCTTTCCATCAAGTCATGTCTGTTACAGAGCGATGGGCAAGTTTGACGACAACGAGAGGATAATCCTCAACGTCGGGGGCACCAGGCACGAAACCTACAAAACCACCCTGAAGACCCTGCCGGGGACGCGTCTGGCCCTGCTCGCCTCCGACTCGGACATCGACTCCGTGCTGGATCAGCTGCAACAAGTCCCCGGCTTCATCGAGTACAACGCGCGGACCAACGAGTACTTCTTCGACCGCCACCCGGGTGTCTTCGCCTACGTGCTCAACTATTACCGCACCGGGAAACTCCACTGCCCGGCGGATGTGTGCGGACCGCTGTTTGAGGAGGAGCTCTCCTTCTGGGGCATCGATGAGACGGACGTGGAGCCCTGCTGCTGGATGACATACCGGCAGCACCGGGACGCGGAGGAGGCTCTGGACGTGTTTGAGCTTAACGTGGACAACGGGGACGAGGACGACGAGATAGGGAAGAGGCTCGGCATTGAGGACGTGGCTGCCGACGGTAATGTCAGCCTGTGGAGGAAGTGGCAGCCGGTGATCTGGAATCTTTTCGAGGATCCCTACTCCTCCAGAGCGGCGAGGGTAAGGGCGCACCGCTGCGTCTGGGGCTCTCAAAACATACACAATAACAGCCTCTTTACACCTCACTCCCCACCTTCTTTTCATTCACAGAAACACACTCTATAGCGTGCCCATTTAAACCAATTTTAAACCCCAAATCTCGCAGAAAGAGTAAAGAAAGTAAGTTCCAAGTTGGCATAAAGTCTCAAAAACTAAAACAGCTGATGTCTTGCAGCTGCTTGAAGTCATTTCTTTCCAACCTTTAATTTTGTTTGAATTGCATTTTATTTCTCTACTGAATCTGATTCATTTCCAGACAGTGACACAGCCTGATTTGGGAACCAGTGCAATTATCTCTTCAACACAAGCATATTTTTCCATTTGGCATAAGCAAACAAGGTGTTAACACTGTCAGGGTGGATATTCCTAGCAGCAGTGTGATTTAGGTGTGTAGGCCCATGCCAAACAGAGCCTATACCCTACATTTGATGCTGTTTATTTTAGCCATGTATCCTATATCTGTAACGCTGTTGTTCCTGTTGCAGGGGATTTTGTTTATTGGGTTACAGAAATGTAATTTCAACACTCACCCATTTAGATCTAATTGAGTACTCCTTTCGGCTCCAGACTGCATCCTAGAAATGACAAACACAAAAGTAACCTACGGGACATTTTATCATTCCCAAAAGGAGTGCAGTGCCTCATGCTGGGAATAGGAGAGATGCAAACATAAAGGCAACATTTGGCATCTCTCTCCTTCCTTTATGATCATTTTTAAGTGTTTTTACACTTAGGCAAAGGAGTGAACTGTGTGACAATTAACATGTTTGAATTTAAAATTTTATCTGGATGGAGTGCAGCTGAACAGCATGAGGTTTTACATCCCAGTGAGCAAAACTGATGTGTGTTTTCTGTCTTTTTGAATCTGTTATCACCGGAGGGGTTACTGTTAGAAAAGAACCACACAAACATGAGTTATTCTCAGATATTATAATCCAGCGCATTAGCTGTTCATCAGAAGTTTTTTCCATAAATAAAATCCAGAGCGTTGAATGGATTTTTTAAAAACTTTATTTATTTTAGTCAAGGATAGGGGCTCTGCTAAGCTTGCCTTAGGCTGGAGTGAATTCTGGGTAATGGACAGCAAATCCTTCCCTCACTGGCAGGCTGTCCTGTTACGTTGTGTGAATGGACATTAATGCAAAACGGCCACACAAATGCCTTCATGATGTCACAGACCGCGTGTCATTGTGATGCAAACACACAACTGTTCAAGTGCTTACTTAAAAAAATAATACTGTGCAGGAAAGTAACTAAGCACATTTACTTACTTTACCTACTTAAGTACAATTCTTACTTGCACTTTACTTCAGTATTTCAGTTTTCTTCCAATTTATGCTTCCACTCCAGAAGGAAATATTGTACTTTTTACTCCACTACATTTATTTGGTACTTTTAGTTACTTATTACTTTGCAGATTCAGATTAATGATACAAAATATAATCAACAAATACATTTTGATTTATTATTATAGGTTAGGATCACCTTTTATTGATCCCTTGGGGAAATTCACAAAGCTACCCTTTATATAGTGTGAGAAATAGGCCCCACCATTACCAGCTGCAACATTCAAGTCATTGACATTATGAATTAATCAATAATTATAATTCAGTTATATAATAAACATTATTCTGAAATGGGACATTCTGTATAATGAGTCCTCTTACTTTTGGACATTAAGTAGGCTACATTTTGATGCTTGTACTTTTACTTTTACTTTAAAGATCTGCATACTAACACCACTGCTGCTGTATCATCACTGATTGGCATGTGGCCAGAGGTGACATTGCCTGCAAGTTTCAACCCCTAGAGCGCAGTGCTGAAGCAGCTTTCTGCGATACAATATATGGCCTTTAATGTAGTTTCAAAGCTATTCCTTTAAGCCATAATAGGACACCAAAACTCACAAATAAAGCTAAATAGAAAAAAATTAAGGTCCTTTGTCACACCAACAATGACACTGCGGCAAAAAACACTAGTAGAGGGCTCTAGGAAAGAAAAGCAGAGTATGGCAAACAGAGTTGAGCCTGGCTTTACTGTAGCCACGGCATAATGCAACGTGATTCATCAACACACTGTTAAATATGTGCACATAGCAGTTAGAATACGGTGTGGTGTGTCACTTAGCATTGTGCTAAAAAACTGTTTAGGAGAAAACGATTCCTGCTGTGATGCGCTTTTCCAAAACAGTACAGTCCTAATGTCTGACCACCTGTGTCCTGTAGCAACTTCCACCAACGCATGCCTTTTGGGTAGTTTTGCTAAAATGCTCCTAACAGTCTGAAAGCATCCTAAATCAGATAGAAGCCTGGAAAAGTTTTCGCTGTATGCTTTTAATCTGACTTATCGCCCCCAAAGCTTTCGAGTAAAATGATCTTCTTATGAGCTGACGTCTGAATTCTTGCTGATATTAGTCATTATACTAGTCTAACTTTTAGTTAATGGGAGGCTTCCCTTCAGCATTTCCTCTGAAAGTATCCTGCCTCTAACTACTTGAAATTACATGGTTTGTTAAACTGTATGCGGCCTTGGTTAAAATGTTATTTCAGTGGCTATTTAACTGGCAAAACAATTCTGGGAAAGAACTGTGAAGCTTTGACAATCAAATAGTCATAGTTAGTTAACATAATCTACATCTATCCTGCCATAGTGATGTACACAGAGGTACACAATAATGAAGGTTGCTGCAGTTATTCATGCAGTTATGCTTTAATTGTTTACTCCGTTGACGAATTCCAGAGTCTGTCTCCCATCTAGATTTTTCATGAAAGGGCTGGAGGAGAGAGAGAGAGAGAGAGAGAGAGAGAGAGAGTGTGTGTGTGTGTGTGTTGTGGGGCTGTTATTGACCCGTATCACTTGTCTTCTGCTCACAATCCACCAGAAAACTTTCAGCAAGGACAGAGATTTGTCTTTATGTGTGAAAGGAATCCTGATGGAGGATGTGTACTTTATAATGAGAAGATACTTTCAGAGTTTATTAGATGGATATCATTCCCAGAAATAAATTTGAGGTAACATTAACATTACAGTTAGCCTTACAGCCATAGCTTAAAAACTGTAGATGACCACAAAATTCTGTCAATCTGCTGTTCCTTGTACTTGCACCAAATGTCATTGGTAATTTCATTAGTGATTACCCTGCTGACGGAGGAACTGGCAGGGATGTACCAAGGTAAATATTGAGCTAGTTTCAGAGATGCTTCACTGGCAGAAGGGAGTTGAGCGAGCTGAATGCTTGTGTTTACAACACTCAAACTGTACATCCGTCTATCAGCACCAACATACACCCGGTATGCACACACAGAAGTTATGCCACATTTCCCCGCCACCAGTCCCACACAGAAGTGTCTGTTTGAAGATGAAGCCGTACCTTCAGTCCTCTGTTGCCTGCATGTGAACCAGATTGCCCTGATGTTGCCCACGATGATGCGCCACCTGCAGCCATGTTACGCCTCAGTTTGGTGTCACGGTGGCAGCACGCAGAGAGCTGCTGCTCCTCTGTTATTAAAGGCCAGCGGGCTTTTGGTTCATTTTGAATACAACTACCCATACACAGAGAAAGGCTCTGTATATGTTTGTGAAAGAAAGACAGGTGATGTGTAGCGAGTGAGTGTGTGTGTGCATGTGTGTGTATGTCTAAATGATGACCCAGGGGGCACTAATCCTCGTCCTGCAAGACGCTTTAAGAGAGTAATGTGGAATTATCCGCCATGGAAATGAAGGGTGTGATTTTAGCCTGGTGGAAAGCTCAGTCCTCTCACACAGTTCACCTCTGACCCTGACACCACGGAGGTGACAGTATGATAGTATTAACTGTGAAGTGGTCTTTAACAGCAGAAATGACATTAAACTTAGTGGCGTGGTGGTGAATAAAAAGATGGAGGCCTCTTGTACATCTGAACAGTGATCATCATATTGCAGGCAGTCATTACTGAAAGGATCTGAATCATTATATCATATTTACTGTGACATGTGCTAAAGACATTGTAGGGGTTTATGTTAGCCTAAAATAAGTTAGGCCAACTCAAGTCTCTTCAACTGGGTTATTCTACACTATATACAGGATTGGGAAATGGTTTAGGTCACTAAATAATTGGTTGCAGTTCAAATATAAAATGTTTAATGTACATTTTTTTTTTTTTTTCTAGTTTACTGTATATTATTATAATGCCATATGTACATTGAGTCATTGGTCACTGTAAGCATGCCTTAATTTCCTCACGGAACAAAAATGGAAGAGGGTGCTTCTAATGCCAGCTAATGGTGCATGTAGTAAAAGCATATTGCAAAATAATTTAAGCAATAAATAGCTCCTAATCTTCTCTTCTGTTTAACATAGGCACTGGTATGGAGGGAGGGAGGGAGGGCAAGCAAGCAAAAACGCCCTTTTTGCAACAGGAGCGACAGGGTTCATGGAAAAGGTTTTGTGGTCTTAATAAAAGTTCCATCTGTCCCTTTAACCAACTCGTCCATGAGTGTTCATGTGCCAACAGTCAGCGGTAGCAGGCGTGTTTCTCTGGGCTCCCCACGCTGTTTCTATTGTTGTAGCCATCATGTTCTCCTTCACTCTCAATGCTGCCTCTTTAATCTGCATGCTGTGTATTTTAACAGCGGCTGCTGCTGTGTTCACTTGTCTGCGTGAGGCAGAAAGAAGGAGAGATGGTGGTGGATTTTCCTGTGTGTTTGTGATTGTGTTTCTGAAAAGGAAAAGAGTGAGACTATATGGCTGCCTTCTATGTTTGTGTAGGTGTTCTCCTATGTGTTAACCTGTTTGTTTATTCCTCTCATATCTCTGTAGTTGGCCATTTCTGGATTGGGATGGTAACAAAAAAAAAGAAAGAAATATCACTCACCACCTTTTTCATTTCCCATGTCTGCGCTTCAAGGCAGAGGTTTAACTGATGCCTGACTTTGTAGCCCCCCTCCACACCCACACACACACACACACACACACACACACA